TTTTAACTGTCTTGTTTACATAGATACAGTACAGACCAAAAGTTTGGACACAGCCTTCTCATTCAATGGGTTTCCTTTATTTTTATGACTATTTATAAAGCAAGAAAGCCCACTTATTAACCTGACAGGTCACACCTGTGAAGTGAAAACCATTTCAGGTGACGACCTCTTGAAGCTCATTAAGAGAATGCAGAGTGTGTGCAAAGCAGTGATCAAAGCAAAAGGTTGCTACTTTGAAGAAACTACAATATAAAGCATATATTCAGTTGTTTTACACTTTATTGTTTAGTACATATTTCCACACGTGTTAATTCATAGTTTGATGCCTTCAATGTGAATCTACAATGTCAATAGTCATGAAAATAAAGGAAACTCATTGAATGAAAAGGTTTGTCCAAACTTTTGGTCTGTACTGTATGTGTGTGTGCGTGTGTGAGTATGCGTGTGATTATGTAAAACTGAAATGAAGCTCAATGATCCACGGGGGATGTCAGAGTTTCTTCAGATCTATTAACGGAGCTCAGAGTCCAGAGAGTTTGCTGATGGCTTGATGGTCTATTAAACCCATGAGCAAACTCCTGTCCTTTGAAAGGAACCTCAACATTCCTTTAAAGGTGACATTCCTCTAAAGCACACCTGTAAAGGAATGTGGAGGTTATTTAACTTTCTAAGGTCACACACAATATTACACTTAATAAAACAAAAATGTTGTTTTTTAAAAAAGACACCCCATTCACCCCCGTTTGGATGGCTAAACTTTACCACCCAAACAGCCCCAAAAGGAAGTCAATACAGAGTCCTAACTGAAAGGCTAGAAATATCAACTCATATACCAACTTATAGAGGACAACTTTCACAATTTGTTGAAAGTGAGAATATTTTTTAAGCAGTGGTATTGCACTCAGTTAGATTAAGATGTAAGGTGTGAATTAAATTTTCATAAGGATTAGGAATATACTGGTAATGGTTAAGGAATATGTCTATGCTAGTCTTGAATGCTGTTATTAAATTGAATGGAAGTCAATAGGAAGTTCTTAGTTGGAAAGAAGTACAAGAATGTATGTTTGTGTGTAAAACAAATGAAAACAGATTTTTTATGCATTATGAAATGTAAATAATTTTAACAGCCTAAAAATGCCTCATCATAAAAATGATGCTTCAATAATGTTCGATGCCGTAGAGATAAGAATACGTGTTTAACAGAACTTCTCACCATTCATTTCATTTGAATTATTCAACTGACTGACTATTTCTCATGAAATTACTAACGCATTAACAATAAACAAGAAGATGAGTAACATAAATGAAGGAAAAGGTCCAGCTGACAGTTCGGTCTAAGTTTGGTCCAGCTCTAACCAGGGCTAATTAGAAACTCTCCATCTATGAGACAGTGTAGCGCTTACTTTCGCAGCTCTCTCTCTTGCTCCCATCTCTGCTGCTTCAGGAGCTTCTTTTTCTGCCTCTTGGACAGGGTCTGGTTTCCCGGGGCAGCATCTCCAGTCTCGCGCCTGCTCTCACTCTTCTGCCTGGGAGAAGCTGAAGGTTCCCCGCTAACATCCGCCATGAAACCCAGTGACTGATTGCTGCTCACTGAGGTGGCCGGCCGGCTCAATGACAGCTAACTGACGGGATTCACTGACCGCTCAAGAATCCTGTAACCAATTTAAATCACTGCAACAATGGAGGAAAAGAAGTACAACGCACAACTATTTCTCTGCCAAACACACGATGTCGTTTGCGCATCTGTGACGTCAGTCAGGAGCGACAGACGCCTTCAAGAACCTAAGAATTCCCACTTTAGGTTTTAGACAAGCCCATTGTGGAAATTTTGAAAAACGTAAATAATTAGAAAAGTCTACATATAGTGTAAAACAACAAAAAGCTATGCTTACTTAACGTTGGTGTTAACACAAACGTGAATAAATCTACTCTATATATGCAACGTTCGAGGACTTTCGATTTTTTAAATAGAGGGAAATGTCATACGTATCACGGTTCCCGAACGGGAAAGAGTTGTTCGGACTGCTTTTTTCAGTCGAACTGACTGGGTGTCTCACAAAGATAGAATTATTTCTCCACCTTTCTGTCACACACGACAGTTAGCAGAGGATTAAGTACCATAACAACGAAACACAGCAGGGCAGAGCAGCTGATTACATAACTATGGCAGAACTTTGAGGAATAAACTGACCTTTAGAACTAATGTTTTTGGCATTTTATAACTGATTTTAACCAACCATTGTTACACACAGGAATAGTGTGGCAATTTTAAATTAAGTTTAATAAAAATTTCAAAATAAAAGACAACACAATCTTTACATCAGGTAATTGCTATTTTGGCCATGTACATAACTGACTTCACTGAACCAGTGTTACACATTAGTGCTGTCATTTAATATGAAGCTTACAGAAGATTTCAAAATAAAAGCCTTGACAATTTTATCATCATGTCATTGCTCTTTTGGCCATTATAAAACTGATTTCACTGAACCAGTGTTACACATTAGTGTTGCCATTTAATATGCTGTTTTGGGCATAAAAAAAAAGCCTCAATGTTCCTCTCAGACTAGTGCACTACCATAGTTCAGATAAAAATAATGGTAATGCAAATTCTAAGTATGATTTTCAAATAAAGTTCAGAAGAATGACTAGTAAAAACTAGTCATTAATCTGATCTTAAAACTTGATAATAAACTGGTTTAATGTTTATTAATCCCATGAATTTTGTAAAATGCTCTTAAAATGATAGCAAACGCATAGTTTTGAGTATATTGTATTTTCATCTCCAGGGGATCAGACCCCACAAGTACTGTGTCACTCCACAGCTGCTTGTCTATCATTAATGTTATAATGTAGTCTGATTCTGTTTCATACATATACAGCTCTGGAAAAATGATCAGTCCTCTGATTTTACTCTTTATAGGTACATGTTTAAATAAAATGAAGATTGTTGAACTCCTGATAACATGTCTCTGAAGTTCCAAGCAAAAACTTACTATTATTTTCAGAAAATGAGAAAAGGTCAAAATAATAAAAAGGATGCAGTTCTTTCAGTCCTTGAATAATGCAAATAAAAGTTTATTTTTATTTAGAAACAACAAAATTATTGTTTTAACTCAAGGAGAGTTCATAAATCAATATTTGGTGGAATAACCTACCAAATAGGTAGATTACCTCCCTATTCACCATCTAATAGGGAGGTGCAATAACCTCCCTCTTCAGTGCAGTGCATCACAGTGCAGTGATAATCTCTTCATCACTGCACTGATAAAGTGATCAGTGCAGTGAATACCTCTATGTAATTGTTAACAGTTTTAGTTGGACAAAACTATTTAATTTATTATGTGAAAGTATGTAAATAAGCAGTGACGTTTAGAAAAATGCACCAACAAATAACTTCTCTTGGCTACAGTTTTACATCAAATAATTGTTACTTTCACAATTATATAACCGATTTAACCCAATTACTGTTAAACATGGGATTAGTTGGGCCCTTTGAAATTATGATTACTTAAAATTTCAAAATAAAAGTCTTGACATGTTTTACATAAGGTAATTGCTGTTTTGGGCTTTCTATGAGTGGTTTAAAGAAACCACTGTTACACATTGGATATGTGTGGCAATTCAATGTGAATAATATTAATATATAATATTAGCCTGTATTCTCTTTTACCCTTGGGTTAAAGAGAACCAGAGGCTTCCTTAGCTAATGCTGAGCATTAGCTAAAGCTAATGCTAAGGCAAAGCATTAGGCTTAGCATTAGCCTTTTTTTCTTAATTATCTATTTTTCTTACTTATTAACCATGTTTAATAAAATGTCTGTAATTCATTTTGTAAGTGAATTACAGACAACATGCTAACGATGCCCCATATGCTACTGACAGTATGCTAAATTTAGCATTTTGGCTAATTTTACATTTTGCACTCATTTTTAAATAATGAATGGTGCACATCCAGGTTAGTTAACATTCTTGTGATTTTCCATATGCTAATTTGTCATTTCTCCCTAAGCTTAGCATTGATGCTGATTTTCAGCATCAGAACGCTGGGTCTGAACCGGCAGGCACACTTTGGTAAATTTCTTCACAAATTTTCTAGTTTTAAAATACTACCTCATTCTTCTTCCATGAGATGGTCAAAAATGACATGCATTCATTTCCTATGGAATTTAATGGGAATCTTTGTTTCTTACCAACTGTAACTGCCCCAATGGAGAATTTTAAGTATCTAGGGATCTTGTTCATGAATGAGGGAAAAATGGAGCTGGAGATCGACAGGCGGATTGGTGCAGCGCCTGCTGTGAAGCGGGCCCTGTACCGGTCTGTCGTGGTGAAGAGAGAGCTGAGCCAAAAGCGAAGCTCTCAATTTATCAGTCGATCTAAGTTCTTACTTAGATCAACCATCTGTGGTCATGATGATTGGCCACCATCATGACCATGAACATGACCTGTGTCATGTTCTTTTGGAGATGACACAGGTCATGTCCGAAAGAACGAAGTCACGGATACAAGCGGCAGAAATCAGTTTCCCGCGTAGGGGGTCTGGCCTCTCCTTTAGAGATAGGGTGAGAGCTCAGATATCCAGGAGGGACTCAGAGTAGACCTGCTGCTCCTTCACATTGAGAGGACCATCTTGGTTAGGGCGACTCCTAGATGCCTCACTGTGAGGTATTCCAGGCACGTTTCACCGTGAGGAGACCCAGGCCACGCTGGGACTATCTTTCTTGGCTAGCCTGGGATTCCCCCGGATGAGCTGGAACAAGTGGTTGGGAAGAAAGAAGTCTGGGCCTCCCTACTTAGGCTGGTGCCCATGCGACCTGACCTCGGATAAACGGAAGAAGATGGATGGATAAATATATGCACATACATACACGCAGATCTCTTATATACATAGCATAATAGAATACAGACAATAATGTTAGCTATCTTGATTAGCTAACTAGTTTCAAGAAATGTGCTCTTTTGCACCCCACACCCCATGACCAGGCACACACCCACACACATAATGGATGTTGACATTGTCCTTTATTGACATTTCATCATTGCTGTTGTAAAATTGCTGTTGTCATTTTGTTTTAAAAATGTTCTCCAAATTGTTCTAAAAATGTTTAAAAAGGTGAAAAATTTAAATATTTCAAATAATCCTTGTGTGAAATAAAACACAGTAGAAAATATTATACAAAACATTATTTTGAATCAAAATGACAAAAATAGCTAAGAAAAGAAAAAAGCCCCCCCAAAAAGCACATTGATTGTAACCCGGGTCAAAAAGACTCACTCATGAAAGACTGTATAGTCAGTCACTCATGCATCAGAGGGTTACATGGGTTGATTTTTCTGAGGGATACACCGGGAGGGTATTGTGATATAAGAGTAAGTTATAAGAGTGATTTTCTGTTGTCCTTCTATGGAAGCATGCAACATAAAAACACTTTTTAATAAATTTTAGTGCTTTGACATGATCACAGCACTGCCAAAACATAGGTACAAAAATCCTCCATAAAACATCAAATATTTAAAAATCAGACACCAGACAAGTGAATAACAGAACGTCATCAGCCGGTGTATCGCTGAACACCGGCTGATGTGAAGCTACCAGTAGCAGGAGAAGTTAAACAATGAAGAGGAGAGCTGCCATCGACACAGTTGCAGCCAAGCATGTTTTAATGTTACACAGTACAGTTTTAGCAAGTTGCTAAAAGTCTAAACTTCCCCAAAAGAATCTCAGCAACCCCAATTTCTAAAAAAAATTCTGCCATTGCCCCCTGCTGTGCTCTGAACGCCCCCCAGGGGGAAGTACTGCTCCTAGACGCCTCCCTGTGAGGTCTTCACTGTATAGTGCAGGTTTCTCCCATTGAGAAACCTACACTGTACAGTCAAATTAAAGACTACATCGGATTTGGAATACAGACCTCTTTGCTTAGAATCATTTTAAATTTTCAGCTTTTCTGTTCCAAATTTGATGCCATGCTCAGATATTGACCTGCGTTGAATCATAATAAAAACTACTGTAAAGTTGTACGTACTGAAGAAACATTTCACATAATCACAAGACTAATGGTTTGTTTGGAGACAACTTGACAAATCTAAAACCCACAAGAGGAAATTGTTGGACTGAGTAAATACTCATATTAATAACAAGTCTATTTAAAGGCTTGTTTTTTAAAAGCCCTCCAAGCCTGATAGAGTGTTAATTGTGGGATGCATTGCACATTAGTCAGGGTTATGTGAGTATGTGGCATGGCTCTGGGTGTGATGATATGTGTCATTGACACACTCAGATAGGATGACAGAGGATACAGTTGGAGATCTGCAACCTGACCCTGCATGTACTCAACCAGTACCTCCATGCTCCTCTGACCCACTTACTGTGGATCCCCAGACAGCAGAGGAAACTTTTAATGCTCACTGCTCTAAATAAACAAAGCTGAGTTAGTTTTACTCCTCTAAACCCTGTGGTTTAGAGGAGTAAAACTCCTCTAAACCACAGGGTTACTCCTCTAAACCCTGTGGTTTAGAGGAGTAAAACTAACTCAGAACCCGTAGTTTACCATTATCAAGTAGTTTGCTAAGTTCTAATTATTTTACAGGACATTATTTGCTTCAAAGGTTTTTGGGAGAGGAAGTGCTCAAATGGAAATAAAATTTGACTTAATAAATATGTATTCAAATACTACTGTTTTATATCCTGTTCTAACATCTTCAGCAGATGTATAGTGGGAATGGCTACATTGCAGTGTCAAAGCAGATTTGGTCTTTATTGACTGTATTGTCATACAGTTGCTGCATATTTGTTAGTAGAAAATCCATAATGAGATCTTCCTGTTCCACCACATTCTCTTTTGCGTTGAGATCTGGTGACTGAACTTATAACTTATAAGTTGTCATCCAATTTTTGAGGAAACCTTTAAAATGTAGTAAAAAAAAATAAAGAAAGAAAGAGAATATGAATTAGGCATGTTTTCATTTACTGGTTTTTAGCAAATCCGTTAGAAAGGGGGGCCAGGCATCTAAGAAGTACAAAATAAAACACCAGGCTATTCAGAGCATGATTTAGCCAGAATGTGACATTACGCATGGCTGTATAACAAGCGGTAGAAGTTTTTCCAAGTTTTGTGCCACAATTAAGGCACAGACTCATCAGTGTACAGGAAAGTTTGCTGTGACAAATGTTCAGCAAATTTGTTTCCATTTCCCCTTAATGATGTTAGCTATTTTTTGTAAAAGCCAAAAAGCACTTCAAGTGATCGTGAAAAAACCCCTTGATCGGAACACTGTTATTGACATGTTCTAGAATCTAGTTTGAGCACCTTTGAGTTTTAGTGAAATGCTGTATTATCCAGCTGGATGTCAGAAAATGGCTACATGGTGGTCATAGCAACAGTATATGTTGAGCAGCAGGATCCTGCTCACTTGAAATTAACAAATGATGCTCACTTGAAACTAAAGGGCCCAAAGTGTAAAAGAGGCAGTGTAATGCAACGGCGGCATTAGAAAGGGGGCTAGGCATCTAAGAAGTACAAAATTATTTTATTTATTTTTTATTGAAGTTTATTTGATAGGGACAGACACACATTGACATAGACAAGCTGCACAAAACAGCAGTCCCATGTTTGCATATAGTGCAATAGCAAAAGCTAATTTGCAGCACTTGTCCCTAGATGGGCTTTTAAAAAGTACATAATAAGTCACATCTTATCTGGCAGTTGTGACCTAAACAAGTTTCCTACTACTTGTATGCATGTAATTTTCCTTGCTTCTGACTGAGTAATGGGAACCTATAGATTACAAGCTTTCTGCTGGAAAATCATCAAATTGCTTTGGTTGAGGAGAGCATTAGGAGGGGCTCTGGCCAGGGAACCATTCCTGAAAGAACCACTACTGAGTACATGTGTCAGTCAACAGTGACTGCAGAAACATAACTGGAGAAAAGTTTGTTTTTGTGTTGTAATAAAGTACAAGATGAGAGTAGAATCAACCTCAATTTAACATTGTGAATATGTAATAAACATTTAGAGTTCCAAAGTACTGTTTTAATTATGTATTTCAACATATGCCATCTTCACATTTGCAAAGTCAAGACCTAATTTTGTGAAGTCATTTTTATGCAGAAAAAAACAAAACAAAAAAAATCAGTTGAACAAAGTGAAAACATAACGTATCATGTCCAGCTTTATGCCCTACTTCTACAAAGACCCTCCACTCTTCTCCCATACACCCCTCACAAAGTCCCAAGCATTCATTTTCTTGTCTTGCAAACCCTACTTTCACTTATCTCTGAAAGTCCTGCTGTTTTCAGAAAGTTTATGGCAGAATCTCGGTGTAAGACTTTGAAAAGTGTGCCACTATCAGGCTTACTTAGGAAAAATCTATGTACAAAGTATAAACAGAACACTTCCCCTAAAATACATTAAAAAAACAAATGGCAAGATGACATTTCTAAAAATGGGAGTGAAATATAATTCAATAAGATGGCTTCCGCTCTCATAACAAATGCATTAATCATTGTCAGTCACTCATAGCATTCATTATAAAAGAATAATCTGGAATAACAACGATGCCTGACATGTATTAACAAGGACTGTCCAGCAGCTCCACATTCTCAAAGAAACCAGCACAAACAAAGACAACATGTCACATTACATTTTTTTTCCAACCATAACTTTTAAAAAATGTGCAGTAATGTAAATTATGCACATAAAGTGCTTTGAATCAACACTGATTTGTGTGCATCATAAAGCACCAACATAGAAGAAGTCATCATGACAGCAAAAGTTGTAAAAACCCTTTGATAAATTCAGCAAAATCTAACAGGTAACAGGTACTTGGATTCATAACTGCATAAATATGTATAAATGTCTTCAAAACAAGTAGTTTATTCTCATCTTAAAATGAGAAGAACTAGGTAAATAAATCTTTATTTAGTTTTAGGAGTGGGTAAAGAATCCCTTTAAAGGCATTCATTCTTGGTTTAGCAGTGGTGTAAAAAAAGCATAAATTACAATCTTGTAGAAAGTAAATAAAAAAAAAATCAGCAGCAGTTAGGTAGAATACATGAACAACTAAATTAATTAATTAACATCAGTGTAAAACAATGATGAGGATAGACCAAAAGGTGGTCAATGATCACAAAGCCTCCAGTCCTAAAGGGGAGAAAAACAGAGGAGAGAAAGTTCTTATGAACACAGTAAGATCAGATGAAATGCTAGTCTCCACTCAGCCTGTTGCACTTACAGGAATCGTTATAATGATGTACAACACTCACACACTGACCAAAGAACTGGACTTGAAATCAACATAAATAGTCAATGTTTTATCTCTCTATCATTTCACTTTTACATATTGTAATGGCCAAATCCATGGTCACACCTTGATGCCAGACAAAAGATAATGGCCAAGGCTCAGCAAGATTAAATGTTAATTGGAATACACCACTAGTTCCTGCTGGCAGGGGGAAATGGCAGTTGTTGTTTTTTTTGTTAGATAAGTTTTGTATTTAAGTAAACAGTATTTAAAGTTTATTTTTGATTTTCATTTTTGGGTCTTTAGTTTAGCCAAACTTAGCTGTACTATTTGGTTTTGTGTTATTTGTTATTGTAACTAAATGTTACAATCAGGTCTTGTGTCTTGGTCTGATCAGCCAGCATATAAACCCCTGTGTGTCATTTCTTTGTTAGGTCAGTTATGTTTGTTGTACAGCCAGTTTGCTTACAATTTTTGCCTGAGTTCAGTTTTGTTTCTTTGACCTCTTTTATGAGCTCAGTTTACCTTTTGTCATTTATGATTTTGGGTTAAAAAGAAAAAACAATTTTTCTGAATATATCTTGTGACTCCTCTTGTTTTTAACTTGGACCATCACACATTTGTAATGCTGAAAAAAATTTATACATCAGGATTCAATTATTTTTCAGGTAAAATGTTATAAAGTTAAAAGACTTCTCTTTGATGCTGGTAACAAGCCATCGTTGAGTGAACAATGCTGTCTTTCACCTGCAGGTTGATTGTTTAATCTCCGCGAAAACCTTCTGTGTGTGGAATTTGCATTCCTGAGACATCTAAATATAACTGACCAATCTAATGTGATCCTAGGTGGGAGGTGTGAGAACATTTTTGTCATCCCTATGTTTAGTCCATCAACTTAGCTTGGTAAAAACCCGCTCCTTCTTCTCTGCATTGCTTCGTCCAGAGGGTCTTTTGGACCCTTGACTATTAAGAGACAATTTCTTCCTGGAGGCATGGACTCTGTTGAAGTTTTAAATGCTACCCAATAGCCAACGTTTGTCTGTGACGTATGTAATATACCAGCTCGATGCTACAAAGGTTACTGAAAATTGCCAGGAACAGGTTTTTAAAGGGTTTGGTTCGTTTAATACAATGCAGAGTGAAAGTGAACAGCACCAGCTGGAAATTTAACTAATATTGCAGTTTTGGTGCCCAATTAAAGATGTGAAAACACTCAAAAAGATAAATCTGCCAGTATGATGTATAATTTTGGGTTTATTCATAGCCCCCTCCCAAGATGAAGTCTGAAGGTAATCTTTCCCGCACGCTACCTTTACACCAGATGGCATTTTCACGCCCTGAATTCTAATTACCCTTATAATCATTACATGTAAGTCAATGAGGACAAGAGTCATCATTGACTGTTGCACATGACAGTAAGCGCTGTTCTGCTTACTGCAATCTTTTCCACTCTATACAGAGTATTTGACTACCATTTAACTTTGCAAACATAATGGAGCCCTCCATTCTGTGGGTCTCATTGTTAAACAAGAAGGAAAGCTCCAAATATTCTCCCAGAGTCCAATAAGGTTATTTGCTGCTGCGTTGCATACTGTGTTTATGTAATGAAGCCGACTTCTCGCCCTCTCTCTCTTTAAATGACTGCTCCTATAAAAAAAAAACAGCTGACACTGAGGCAGCTCCTAGCTGCCAGAATCCTGATGTCCAGCAGCAGCTGAGGCTTTTCAGGTCCCACAGATAACAGACACTTGCCTTCACCTGAAACTTTTCTCCTATACAAACATGCAACATTTCTATAAATGAAGACTCTAATGTTGATATAATACACAGATAATTTTCATATAAACACATCTTTAAGGTACAGAGACATGTTAGGCTGCAAACTTTACATCTGCACTGTGGCTGTTTCACTTATTATGTATTATAGAGCTAAGAAATGAATATAATTAGCGTTCAACCCCAGATTTTGATCCCAAGTAAATTGGGATCAATTTAGGTAAATTGATCCCAATTTATCTCCAAAGATAAATTTGGATCATGATTTTGTAAATCTCAAAAATCTGCAACAGCATTACATCACTCAATACAGTAACGCTCAATGAGATCAGAGCAGAATCGTCAGAAAAACTTGGAATAAACATCACTGATGAGACCTGGTGTCACGCATTGCATGGAGTAAACAGGTCAACTTCACGTGCTCGACCTGGACTAATTCAGTGCAACGTTCTTCATAGAATTCAGATTCTCAAGGATATATTCTACAGTTAGCGTAACTGTAAGGCAAATTTAACTCATGTTCTGGACCTGTAACAAATTGTGCAACGTCCAGTTTATGATATTTCAGACCCTATCTGACCCTATCCAAAAGAAATAATACCTTCTAAAGATGACACCATCTTTAGAAGGTATTATTTCTCATTTTTAACTTTCACACTAAGCCTAAGCATCAGTGAACATCTTAAATTTTCCTAAAAAAATAACTTCTTCTAAAAAGAATGAACTGCTTTTCTCCTTTTCTTTTTGTCTTCTGCATTTTATGTAAACATTTTTTATATGTCGAAAATACAGTGTATAATTTCGAACCAAAGACATTGGTTGACATGCTCATTTATATGTCTTTGCTAACCAGTTTGGATATCAGTGTTTTTTTGTCCCTGTATTTTCTGTTTTTTTTTTTGTTGTTGTTTTTTGTTTATTTTTCTATGTAGCATCAAGATGCATTTTCAATATAGTGTATATTGTGTGCCATAATTTTTTTCAGTTAAATAGAGACAAAAAATAAAAATGTCAGAAGTATTTAATTATTTATATATTACTCAAAAATCTATGGAAAAATTTTGATGGCATTACAGTTGTCAAATCTTTCTGCATGTTTCCTCTTGTACCTGATCTTATTAAAGATCTGACCATAAGCAAATATCCTAAAGACAAATGTGTATCTAGTTAAATAATACAGGATTGATGTCATTCTAAAGTAGGGAAAAGCTCTGACATTATTTCTCAGTGTCTTAATTTTTGTACATTACAGAAACCTGCAATCTTAACGAGGATTTGTACACATTTTTGTTGGGAACTGGGGTTTTGGCTCTTTGTGGGGATTTACTGTTTGCTGCTTCCCTTATTATCCACTGATGTGGTTGACTTAGTTCTTTTTATACATAGATTCATTATTTTTCCTAAACAAACTAAACTATTAAGTTACAAAAAATCATTCATGTCCCTCAGACTAAAAGACCATGTCCATAACAGCAGGATAGTTTGCCTTTTTGTTACCTATTTGTTACCTCAACAAAGGTGAACTGTGGTTTCCAGTTCTTCCAGAGGCAAAAGTAAGGAAAAAGGTGAAGGACTCACCTGTCCAGCTTAGCGACTCATCTATGCTCTACCACAAAACTCATGGTGGTCCCATCAAACGAGGGTGGGGCAATGATCCTTGGCCCTTGCTGGGACGTGATGCTGATGACTGACTGGTTCATACTGGAACATCCATGCTGTGACCTATTGGGGGCATCATGCTGTTGAGCCCTTGAAGCTGCCTGGGGAGGCTTCCCAGATGCCATATAGAAAGGAGTCTCCATGTACATTCCTTCAGTCTGCTTTGAGGACAACTTCTCCATGCCCTCTACCTCTGATGGCACGGACATCTGTGACTGTACCAGCGTTCGAGTAGGTATCACTGAAGGGGTTGGTATGAAGCCTGGATAGATCATGTAGGTATGACCATATGCTCCTGGACTGAGCGCTAGCGGTGAGATAGGCATTGGTACTGGTGTCATCGGAGGATGTGGCATGGGTACATCCACGTACTGGCCTGTTTCTGGGTCAAAAAGGCGCTTTGTGGCTGGGGACACCAGAGTGTCCACCAGGTAGTAGTTTCCAGTGGTGGGATCCAGCAGCATTTTCCTTTGTGTTGCCTGAAAGGGGTCCAGGGTGGGGGCTGGAGTGATTGCTGGGGAAAAACAATACAATTGTGGCTGATTGGCAGACACAGGCATGGGCAGGGAGTGATAAACAGTAGCAGAGGGGATCTCTGGTGAATGGGTCTCCATTAGAATACGTTTTGTCCTGTGACCGTGGTCCTCTTGGTTTCTAGAGGCATAATCTTCATGTGCTGCAGGAGGGGTTGGCAGTGACTGATGGTGAAGAGTCTTTACTGTTTTATCTGCAGGTGCTGCCATTTTACTGTTGTTGGGCTGAAATTTGACCGGGATGGTTAGGTAATTCTCATTGTCAACTGATGCACCTGAAAACTGATGCTCAAATCGGTCCACTCCCTTCGGTTCAACATCTTCCTTCCCACTAACTCCTGTCTGACTGGTTTTGAATGACACAGGCAATTTAGGAGACTTTGGTGCAAAGCTTTTACCTCTGAAAGGTGTATGTGGGGCGGTACTTAATTGAGGAACATCAGCGGCTGTGTAGGCCTTGGGTTTGGAGCTAAGGCTAGACATATTCATGTTCTTGCTCTCTATGGTGCCAACTGTCTTAGTGACCAATCTTTCATCATGACTGTTGGATGACTGAAGCACTTTAAGTAGGTCTTTGTCTGGCCACCTTTGGGAGCTGTCGGTGCTGGAGGGCGCTGATAATGCTGAGGGGTTCTTGTCTAAATTTGGCAAGGAATCTTTTCTGACTGCTTTGTCTGTGTTGAATCCACTCCCTCCTCTTTCCTCAGACTCTTGCTGCTCTTCACTGGCTATCAGTGACAGCACATGGCTGTCCGTCAGACGCTCAGGCTCACACTTTCTCCTCCACTCATTTTTATCAAACACATAAAGTTGCTCCATGGTTTTCACTGCGGCCTGGAGTTTCTCCAAAGCCACTTGACTTTTGACTCCAGCTACTTTTGACTCCAGTTTATTTTCTGCTGTCTCTGATGCCGTTTCTTGCCTTGCTGCACCTGTTTTGCTCTCATTGCTCATCCCAGTGCTTCCCTCTGAGCTGTTTGAGATATTTGCTGCTATCCCTAATGCCTTCTGGGGTGGAGCAGTCTTACCGCCCTCTGGAGACAATCTGCATTTGTCAGACTGCTCCTGTTTAAGGTTTCTAGTAGGTTTTTCTGCATTGTTAGTATTTACAGACTGACATTTTATCACCATGGGGGACACACAGTTAGGATTACTGTTTTGCATCTGCTTCTTTTGCTCTGAATTAATTTCAGAGCTAAAGGAATTTGATTTATTTTTGTTCTTATCCAAGGAAACAAAGTGATAGGAACTTTTAACCAGCTTACGTACATCTCTGACTTGGTGAATGGGAGTTTGTATCTTTGCTTTATTATCTCTGATGTCTCGAACCATAAAGTGGGGAACTTTATCTGAGGACTCACCCTTCAGAACTGCAGCCAGGGCTTGGCATTTGAAGTCCTCTGTTCTGATCAGACTGGAAGGGCTTGCGGTGATATTCGAGGTGCGCAGCTTGGAGCCTTCAAACTCTTCCATTTTATTATCTCTAACACTTCTCAGGTTGATTTTAATTTCTGGTGATTTGGATGATTTTGAGCTCGTGGAGTCTGTGATGCATAAAGTGTTGTTTCCATTCCAGGAATAAGCTCCTCTCTGCAGCTGCGGTCGCACGTCTCTGTCACTGGGCAGCAGTTGGATATTTGGCACAAACAAATGAGACATTTTCGTCAGTTTTTCACAGCCTGCGGAGAACAGATTCCACTCACTCTCTTTGTCATCAACTGGAGGCAGCTTGTCCAGCAGAGTTTGACAGTTTTTATGATCCTTTTGAAACTCTAGCTCCTCGTCCTTCCAGCATCTGAACGCGCTATTTTGGCTGCGACGCAATGTGCCTTTTTTAGTATCAATCCCAGTTTCATTGGCCGAGTTTAAATTCGTTTCTGTTGCAGGAGCACACACGTCTTGCCTCTTAATATCACATGAGTCGCTGTCCACAAAGTCCCCTAATTCATCCACGCACATTATGGCATAGCCTGAGCCGCTCTCAGAGAACTTGGAACTCTGCCTCTTCAGCTCCCTGCTGCCTTTCCACTTATTATCACTCTCATGCAGCGCAAAGCCCGGAGACGACGCCTGGTGTGGCTCGCTGATCTCCCCCCTCTCCATCCTGCGCTCCTGCTCAAACTGCATTTTCTTTGAAAGAACATTTTTTAACAAACTGGAGGCAAATATGGCTTTCTTATGCATATTTTCCATGGTATTAGAGGGCAGCTTGCTGCCCCCTCTCTGCTGGCTGCTCTGCAGACTCTTGGTAACCTCATCCGTGGAATGTGATCCTGCAGTGTTTTGCACAAAGTTAGTGCGCCTTTCTTCCCCAGACATTCCCGATTTGACATTGCAACGAAAATTCAGTGTCTCTGTGAGTCTTATCACTCCGCTGTGGCCCTGCCCAAACTTTCCCATCAGTTGGACTTGCTTTGATGACGAGGCACTGCGGGGGTTGGCTTTCAGAGCAAAGATCTTACTTGTGGGCTGAATGGTGCCCTTATAAACTCTGCTGTCGCTGTTTTTGCCTATTTCATATGAGGCCGCGGGGTTTTGGCAGGTAATCACACTTTTGTCCAGCCCCTGAGACATGTTTAAGTTGCCATATTTCAGATCCAGAAATGTGGACCACCTGTTTTTCCTCCGGCCATGCTCTGATGCAGAGGACTCACTGGAGGTGCTGAAATTGATGGCTTCAAAGTAAGGGTAGGCCAAACTCTTGAAGGCTTTGGCTGTGAGATTGCGCACCTCCTTGTCAGCGTCGTCCAGCTCGCTGACAGCGCTGGACGTGCTGCTGGAATACTCTGTGACCTCTTTCCCCCTCAATCTGCCCCCAAAATGCGGGCGTCCGGGCGCGGCTATAAAACACTTCGCCCTGTCACACAAAGTCTCTGCCTTACTATCCACTCCCCTAAAAACATAGCGGCTCATGTCTCCGGAGCGCCTGGTATGATAAAGGATATTTTCCTCCTTTTGGATGCTGCTGGGGTCATTTATAGCTCGGGATGTGGTTCTGATTGACAGGTGGATCTGTCCTTCGCCCTGCTTCTGCTCGGGCTCATCTGAGTCGCAGAACTTGGCCGTGTCGCTCAGATCACTTTCAAGCACAGTGCTGACCGCTGCTGCTACTGCCGTGGCACCCTTGGAGCAGTGCGCCCCACCGGCCCCCCTCACACCCACAAAGGAGTAGCCTACGAATGGGTACATCTGACTCTCATCTTCAATGTCCCAGCAAGTGGAGGAGCCCACACCCAGGTCATAATCTCCTTCATGGTCAGAGAACTCCGAGAGCTGAATCTCGTGCGTGGTAATGTAATGGTCCTCTGTTAAGCACAGAGCGGATTCATCAGAGAGTGCCAGGCTGACATTATCCACCTCCTCACAGTCCTCACTCTCACTTCTCCCACTCAGAGAACTGTTGGTGCTGTGGGATTCCTCCTTGCGCTCTGCCTTGCTTCCCATGCCTTTGGACACATTGGTGTGCGTAACTGCACTCTCACCACTTTTTTCTCCTATTTGTAGGCAAGTCTCATTTTTTTTCAGGTGTGGTGAGGATGACGGCGAGGGAAGATTTCTTATATCTTTCTCACATTTCTCACCTATGGTGCTTTCTCTCTCCTTGGTATGCATCTCCTTCAGGTCAGAGTTCGGCTCCGATGCGCAAACAGCTTCAAATCCACCGTTTTTAACAATGACAGACACTTGGTTCCTCTGACCAAAGTGACAGACCCTCTCATCCTCGGACTCCAAATCAACATATCTGTTTTCGTCCTGCGTTTTCAGGATGTCTTGCTCGTCTTTTTGGAGCAGATCTATCACCTGCCCGCTCGCTGCCAGCGTTTGGGCGCATCTTCTCTCTGTCTTCATATCTGCAGCAGCGGGTTTAAGCTTACATTTGGTGTCTGACACAAAGCCGGCAGTGCAGCTGGGGCCACTGAGGACTTCTGCTTCCTTCACCCAGAGATGGTGCTGTGCACAAAGCTCTGCGTCCGGCCAGACAGGCTCCAGTGACACTGGAGCGCGCCAGACATTCCGTCTCAGTGCACGTGAAGTCCTAAAAGGAACCAGAGACATAACCATGTTCTGTCTAGGCATGACTAAAGCAGGGGTCGGTAGTCACCTCCATTTAGATTTTATATATATTTGAAGTTAAATGACAATACTGTAAACAGTTTATTGAGTTAGCTTTCATAATTAAAAAAATTAACTTCAGAAATCTGCTTTTAGCTTTACATTTTCTGCTCTGTTCTCAGTATGTTTCTTTAGGCAATTGAATCTATTATACAATAAGATTCAAAATCAGTTCAACTTCTTCCAATTTGTTCCCATTTATCAAACAATCTAGCCACTTTTAGTTTAATATTCTAATTTAAAAAGTTTTACATCTAAGGAAAACCTGCAGATTGCATTGAGTGTTTGACTTTGCAACAATCCCTCTTGGTGAGCATTTATGTAAGGACAGTGGATAGAAAAACTCTCCTTTAACAGGTAAAAAAACCCCAGCAGAACCAGAACCTGCTGGAGGCTCAATTTGCCATGACAAACTGCAGGAAGAACTAGCAAACACACGAAGTCACAGAAGTTCCAATCCAGGAGTACGTTTCATGTTAAAGAAAAAGTAGAGAGCTAACTGCAAGTTAAGTGAAGCTGACACCTCACCCACGTCCAAAAATCCAGCAAATAGTCTGAGTGGTTAGTGCAGATTTGTGCCATTAAAATTTTTGTTTGTGCAGCTTTGGTTTCTGAGATATTAAAAAATTTAACGGCACAAACCTGCACAAACTGATTTTTTGACGATTTTTTGTCAGCTTCACATATGTCTAACAACTATAACGAAAAAAAAACAACTTTTCCTTGAGTTTGTAATTAACCAAAAAAAAAAGAGCGGTAAACAGAGGTCAAAAGTTGGTGAGTGTTTGGCTTCACTCACCAACTTGCCTCTTTTCTATCTGGAACTTTCTTTCCCTTTAAACTCACCCACTCGACAAACATAAACGTGTTAACAACTTCAAATCAGCAAAGTTCTACACAAAAGCATATAACTTCAATTATGCATGCAATCTTCACAAAATTTAGTTAAGGCTCTTACAATGAACAATAGAAATAAACTGAGGCTCACCCTGCAGATTTAAAAAAAATTATTTTCAAATTGTTAGAACCATTTGCGGCGACAGACTGGCGACCTGTCCAGGGTGAACCCTGCCTCTCGCCCGGAACGCAGCTGGAGATAGGCAACAGCAACTCCCAACCCCTTTAGGGAGAAGGGTGATCAGAAAATGGATGGATGGATAGAGCCATTTGTGGCACCACCACAACATTTATGCCCCTTTTTCAACTGGCTGTGCACTTGTGCATCAGAGTAACTGTTTCTCCTTTATTTTAAGAGACTGTAAATGCATCAGTTGTTTCAATGCATTTCTCTGCTGACTATAGACATTCTTATTTCCTTATGTTGTGTCAGTGGTAAAGGAATTAATGAAGAGTATTAAAGTAATAGTCTTAATTTCATTGCTTGAGTCGTTACAAACAAAAATGTTGGACTAGTTAGTCTTTCCAGAAAATGCCTCCCATCTGAACTGTTTCTCTCAGGTGAACCTCTGAGCCAGTATTTCCCAACCCAGGTCCTCAAGGCTCACTGCCCTGCATGTTTTAGGTATTTCCTTGCTTCAGTCCCACTGATTTCAATTGATGACTGATTAACAGGCGTTTGTTCAACTGCAATCTAAAACATGTAGGACAGTGGACCAGGATTGGGAAACAGTACTCTGAGGAAAGTTTCTCTGATGCTTACGGTTGTGGAGAGTTTTACCCTAACAGTGTTTCTTATAGTTGTTTTAAGTAAATTGTGTTATTTGTTTTTGCACAATGCTGTTGTAACCTGGTTGAATTTCTCTTCTGTTATAATTACTCAAAATGTCTTTTTTTGGTTATTTGTATGGGTTCCTACTTGACTGAATATCCGTTACTGTTTTAACTGTGTTACTTTAAGAACAGAAGCCCCTCCCTTTTTGTTTCTTCTTCTGTCATATTGTCTTTAAAATGTTGGCGTCCCTTAGACCCTCCCCTTTTGTCATGTTGTCCTGTGGAAGAGGTGTGGACTATTTATTTTGTATCTAAATCCATCCAGTTTATTTATAGATTTATTAAGTTCATTTCTGTTATGTACTTTTGTAGTGATGGTGAGATGAAGCCTCATGAGACATTGAACCACTTAAGCCAAATGGTTCGAGAAAGGGTTCATTTCTTGAAGCTTCATGTGCACACAAAACCACCTACTGGCCAGGTGTATAATCACAGCCAGCTGTATCTTAACACGTGTGATGCATTGAATTTTTGTCTATTATGGCTCTTGGGAATGACTTCAAAAAAGGTGTAGGATGAAATCATTTGTCTAAATTATGCATATACATATGTGTATAATAAAATATTGTTTGAATGTATTCTCTGTGTGTAATTTTTCCCAAAATAGTAGTGTCATGTGATATGACATGTTGTATAATAATGTTTTTCTGTGACTCTAGAAAAATGGCATGGGCTTAATCAGGCAGAGGACAGTGAAAGTGCTTGTGGAACTAGGGAGGAGGTAGTGAATAGGCTAATGCTTGTGTAACTTGGATGATTTCATGCATTTTTATTAAGAACAACAATTTCTCCACAGTTTTTGGTTTCAAACGATTCCTCTTTTTTGACACTACTTCTCCAGCCTTTGAAAAGACACGCTCACGCTCCTAAATCTCCTTTCTCTCTCCTAAACTCTCCAAACACCAAACTAACTGTCTCAAACTGTGATGACCTGTGATGGACAGGTCACCAATCCTTCACAGGGCCCTGAAAGCTAACAATGAATACAATGTATGGAAGAGAAATGGTAGATTAACAATGGGAATAAATTCTGTCCAATTATTTTAAAATCAAATCATGTTTATCCAACCTCTATCCACTCTCTCAACTGACTGCAACTCACCTACAATGACCCACATTTTGAATGGAGCCTGTGGGGTTTATAAAGCTGTCAAACCCCGCGCCAAAATCTGAACCACTTCCTGAAGCAATCACGTGGTACAGTCGGGCAGCGAGGCCTCGGATGTCATCGTTTTCGGCTTCTCCCCTAAATGAAGCAAGCTTCGATACGCGCTTTACGGAAACGTCCCCTCCACTAATCGACACACTTCGAAGCCTTGGCACATCATGTAACATCACTACACTTTTGTTTATGTAGGGCTTGGAGCAGGCAGCCTGTAACACGGTTCTTTTCTATTTGTTGTTCTTGTCAGGTATGTTGTATAGAAAGGTTTATTTTGCATATTTAACAAGTTGTGTGATATAGTGCCCCTTTTGTCATGTTGTCCTGTGGGAGAGGGCTTGGAGTGGGCAGCCAGTTCATGTTCTTGTCAGAATAAACCAAGGAACCATCCTTTTAAAGACGTACCACAGCCTGATCATTTTAAACCAGCACAATGCAGATCGGATCCGGTTACACTGTGAACAAATTAGAGTCGCAAACAGTGTCAACATCCATGCTTAGTGGGTGTTTTACTGGGACTTGCTTATCTTAGTGTCCCAGTAAAACATTTCTGGGTGACTTCTTTGCCTATATACGTTAGAAGTAGAAAAAAATAGTCAGCAATATCATAGAATCAGTTGATGCTGGCATTAACTATGAAGTTGTTTTTAAGCGTGGACTTAAGGGAGACAAACTACCTTAAAAGCTTTCTATCCATGATCTGAACACACTCATCCTTGCAGGGTGGTGAGGGGGGTTTGGGGCATCTCCAGCAGTTCTTCACAGATTGGTGACCTGTGATGGACAGGTCACCAATCCTTCACAGGGCCCTGAAAGCTAACAATGAATACAATGTATGGAAGAGAAATGGTAGATTAACAATGGAAATAAATTCTGTCCAATTATTTTAAAATCAAATCATGTTTATTGAGCACTTAGTGTTGGAAACACACTAGTTTTGCTGTTAAAATTGTAGTCTGCTACTCAGTGTGAAAAAAAAGCCTTACACATAAAGATTTGCTCTTTTCTTTTCTTTTGCTTATACTGGAAAAATATGTTGAAGATAAAAACAATAATAACAACAGCCTTACAATATTAAAGTCTCTTTGGCATCCTGAGCTAAATTAAAACCAGGTTAAATTTATGAAGAAAACTATATTAAGTCGCAACACAGAGCCTCTGTGCAGTTTCTTCAGTTATAAGATGAAGTTGAATGATTATTATAATAATCATAAAAATCACAATAAAATTAATAAAATAACTACTTCTGAAACCAATGTAAGTTTGTTTATATATGTACTGCACTATTTATAATTAAACAAAGATAATTGGCATTTTGAAGCAAACTTATCACCAGCTATCAACAGGTTAGCAGCCTTCGTCCCTATGCGCTCCATTGGTGATCCACATTTAATTTCCATCCAGTTCTTGTCTAACTCGGACTAGGAGGTCACCAGCTTAAATTCACAAAAACTACTATTATCAAGGCTCTCTCCACTTTTAAGCCAATATTTTGCGAGTAAAAATGCCGAATTTGAAGAGCATTTCGTATCCTCCCCGGCTTCATGGCTGTTCTTTTTATGGCGGTTTTGAAAAAAGCGAAGGTGTGCATTACCGCCACCATCTGGTCTGGAGTGTGAAATGGAGCTAATCCGTTCACTTAAAGATCTTACGTTACACATCTGAAAACTGCCTGGGTAAAGACAGCTTCCGTGTTTTAGGTAAAAAAAGAACCAACAACTCAAAAACACGAATCATAATCGGAGAGATATAAAAATGAAGATACCTGCTACATTTAGTAATCAGGACAAGTAATGTTTTTGCAGAACTTCTATCACTAAACTGTCAATGTTTGATGTTTTGAGGCATGAACACATTATTTACTACTGTGTTAAACATTACGTCAAGTTCCACTATAAGGTTTATTTTTTTT